GAGAAGCCAGAGGTTTATTTGTGGTAGTAACTTAGTTTATTGAATTCTCCTTTTATGTGATCATTCATCACCCATAATCCAGTTTTAATCCCCCTATACTAATTTTAAAGCTAATAAACTCACAGATACTAGGGGTGAAATTGTATTTCATATTTTTCCTAGATTTTTCCAAGTATATCTGACTTTAGTACAAAGCTTTTTTAAGTTAATGAGATTTTTTTTTTTTTTTGCTTGTGGGCTGGGTTCCACTGGTCTCAGAAGCAGATTCCATGTCTGGAATTATGAGGTCTTGATTTTAATACCGGCACCACAGACAATTGCTATGGAATTTCATGTTATAAAATATATTGGTTTAGTTTTTTAATGCAAATATTCAACAAATGTAAAGGTATGCTACCTAGGCTACTAAGATTAAATGCGCATTTATTTTCTAATTTTAGGGCACTGAATGTGAAGAATTACAAGACTGTCTCGGCAGACATTCTGGGGAAGCAGCTGGCTTTCTAGCTCCTCTCAGTAACTCACCGGAATGCATAGTGTTACGGAATACATGGTTCCGTAGCTTTTAAAGAAAATTCAAACACGAGACTCAACTGCAACCTCCTTTCTGATTTTAATGCTGATTAATAAACAGTGTTAGCTAATGACTTATTCTGGGGTTGCTGAGCTATACTTTTGGATCTTCATCTCTAGGTAGAATCTTTTAAAAAATTTCCAATGGAAGCATGATCTTTCTCTTGAAAGGTTTTACTTCTTCTGGTAAGGAGCTGTAGTGGAGGAGGGGGGAGAAAAGGCTAGGGCCTGGAGTAGTGTAAAGTCACAAGAAATTCTTCCCTTCTGTTAGACTTAGTTGAAAATTGTATTGAGAATTACCTAGGTCTTATGGCCTATCAAAGCACTCTTAACATCAAAGATAAATTTCAGGTTCCCTTATAAGACACAGTTCATGCGCAAGTACTGCATTGTAGCAAGACACGTGCTTTAATGCAAATGGTACCATGCCTTCTATTTATAGGTGAGTGCTGGCCTGAATGGAGCCAAAGGGTGGTCTGTGCTGTTCCTCACTAGCTTCCCCAAATTGTCTCTCTCACAGCGTCCAATCTATGTCGGTCCTACCCTGGAGTCTGCTTTAAAAGATAGCATTGTAATTAGCTGTAACTCGCAAACCACACAGTTAGGTGGGCAACTGTATAGATCTTAATAAAAATCTATAAATATAAACCTATTATATCAAAAGAATACATGGATGTGTAGGGCTTGTTATTATCTATTACCATGAAGCTACATTTTGTTGCATACAGTTGGCTGTATGGAACTAGTAAAGTCATTCTGTTTTGAAGACCGGTGTCACCAACAAATCACATTACATTACATGCATAGGGATGTCTTTAAGACATTCATCATGAACTATTTCAAAACAAATTTAACAATGGTAAAATGTTCTGCTATTATCTTCACCCTGGGAAAGCCAGGTACATATCTAGCCTAATGTAGCTCCCGGACTGAGAAATATAGACCCCAAAGAGGAGTCCTGATACATCCGCACGGGGTAATTTCCTGCTCTCAGACAGGCTGGCAGATGGATAAGTACTCAGAAAACACCTTTGCTGGAAATACCTTCCTCAGTAGTTTTCATATTTCTGATTTCTCTTTTCAAACATAGACATCCACCGCAGCCCACATTGAACAAAAGTTATTGATAGGGAGACCTTGCTGCAAGTTGGGCTAATGCGTTTAAACCCAGCACTTCACAGAGCTGAGGAGCCTGAGAGATGCCGTAACCTCGCAACTCAACGGTAGGGCAGAGCTAGGGCACTGGCAGGGTATAAGGACTAATACGGCAACTGACAGATTTCTGTCTAGAGTTTGCATTATTTTATCAATTTTTGGGAAAGCAAATGTTGAAGCCAGTAACAGGAGCACTGAAGAATATAAAGAATTTCAGATGTTCACGGTAACGGGGTAGAACACACATTTAATTTGAGGGTACACTGTTTTCTTATAATATTTTCTTATAACCTTTCTCATTTTAGTTTTGAAAATACAAATATACAGCATTATGTAGTTTCCTGCAAAACAGTTTTATTGTTCATTCTTGAACACAGATCACTCAGATATGACAAAATTAGAGGCAATTAGAACTGATAACTGATATCCTATTTCCGGACAACTTCAGATTGTCTTCTTTTCCGTTGTGACGTAGGGATGACTTGGGCAGTTTTCCTACCATCAGTGAATAAGAGATGATATAAACTTTTCATCCAGCTGTCTATCTCAGCAACACCGTATTTAACAACTTGTTCAATACTTAAAACAAGGTTTGTAGATGTTAACCAGACTAATCTAGAATTAACTAATCTGACAGAACAAAGTAGGTACTAGGCTTGAACTCATTGGGCCAGGAAAGGACTTTCTGAACAGGACCATGAAAAAGTCAGGCATCAAAAGTCCAACAATTCATAAATGGGACCTTCTGAAAGAAAAGCTTCTGTACAGCAAAGCACACCATCATTTGAACGAAGAGGCAGCCCACAGAGTGGGGAGAAATCGCTTTATTTCCCTCAGTTCAGGTTTAGAAGACATTACAAAAGAACAGCCGGTTGATGCCCTGCTGCTGGTACAGGAAAGGTTGCCCACAGGCCATTCCCACCAGTGGAAGGAAGACTGACTTTCCCCAACCCGGTAGGAAAGGCATGTCTTCAATCACACCGTGTTTTGTGTTTAAGCAAAAATAAAGCACCAAAGAGATTTTCTTTTCCTGGATACTCTTCCTGCCTGGTATAAACACAGTTCATAGTTTAACTTCTGCTTGGAGAAATAGTCTTGACTCTTTGGGGACACCAGCTTGCTGTGATCATTGCCAGGTGTTCCCAGCCACCTCGGAACCCCCTTTGTCCCCTTTTGTCAGTGAACCAGATGGCCTGAACTAGTCTCAGAATCTCATCCACGGAACAGTCAAGAGAAAGATCATTTAACGTCATCTGCAAAGGATACCTTTATTTTCAATGATAAAGGGGCCCCTGAAGGAGATACCCTTATTAGTCTTTAAGACTCCATAATGCGGAGCCATGGTGTACTTGGGATGTAATGCCAAGGGAATGTTCATGGCTCCTAACCCCTCTTGTTCCTTTCCTGGGTGCATTGATCCATGACGGTTGACAGAAGTGGGGAGCCACAGAAGCGCTAATCTCTTGGCAGTGTGTTTCTTAAATCAATCTACCCTGTCCCCGAGAGCGATGATCTCCACGAGGCGCACAAAAGTGAAGTCAAGAGGATAAAAGAGGAATTTACACATCTTCTTCTGTGTTAGTCTCCTATCTTTGAATCAACCATCTGGTGTAACAACTGTGGCTTGGAATTTGGGAGAAGGTTGCCCATTTCTGGCATTTTCTGAAGTCATTTTGCTACTAGCAGGGCATATCCACAGGTCTCCGAGACAAAACCCACTACAGGAAGGCAGGAAGGAGACCGGAAAGAGAAAGATCTTAACTAAACATCAGACCTCTGTGATCAGTGGCTCTCCTAACCCGCATCAGATAAACTTCTTCTTGCGGTTGGTGGTGAGTACCAGAGGCCTTCCACTGGGCAATGTGGAGAGACGGGAGACTTGGGAGTGCTCAGCCCTAAATGCGAAGTCTCTATCACATTCTTCCCCTAAGGGCTCAGGGATGTCCACAGAACAGGAAATAAAAAGATTGTAAGGTCCAGACGTGGTGGGTGACTCCCAGGAGATGCTGTCTTCCAGACACAACAAGACGGATGCCCACATGAACTCCCAAGACTTGCATAGGCTCAAGTCACTCAAATTCTCAGCATGGGCCCACCCTAGCCAAGAAGCCATGCCCCAACAATAGCGAGAAGGGCAGTCAGTTTTCTTCAATGACATGACTCCGGGCATATCAACCACACTCCGGGGAAGGTCTCATGCACATGGGTAGTTGGCCAACAAAGCAGACTCCATGTTTTTTAGTAACTTTTTTCTTTTGTGTCTTCGTTTTATTTTTTTTAAGAGAGAAAACACAAAATTAGATGGGCAGGGAAGGGGGTTTTGGAGGACTTGGCGTATGGGAAAGAATATGAATAAGAACAGTTTTGAAAAGAGAAATGTGAGTAGAAACACATTCTAAAAGCATCTGGAAAGTTCAACCTTAGTATAGTATATGTTTTGGAAATATCAAGATTGCTGCTTCTGCAGATACTGATGGGTATTTTTATGTGTAAATGTTGCAGCTCATACCAGCTACATATATATATATATATGTATATATGTATATATATATATGCATATATGTATATGTGTGTGTGTGTATGTGTGTCTAAATGGCCAGTGCTAGTTATGCATGTTGGAACAAGTTAACCATTTGAGACTCTCTTTCTCTATTTACCAGTAAGAAGGAATTATCATGAAGATAATTAAAAACATTTCCCAAGCTATAACATATGCTTTAAGAGACTATATCATTATTATACATCAAATAGTTTGGCATAAGTTAATTTATTAATCTGAATTTTTATTATTTCTCACTAAATTTTCAATTATAGTATTTTTTAAATATTAAAAATGAAGTAATAGTTAATGCTGATATAATGGTTACTATGCGTTGAGAGCCATTCCGTGTACCATTTTATTTAAATATGTTTGTGGTTGTTATTTGGTGTTCATGTAACAGATGAGGAAATGGAGGCAGAGAAAGGTTGAATCTCATGTTCAAGGTACTACAACCAGCAGTGGAAAGCCAAGAATTCTGTCTGCTTAGAACTATCAATTTATCATTATATCATTATATATCAATTTATAATTATATTATGTTCCTAGACAAGTTCTCCACAGTTTTCCACAATTTAAGGGACTTGCTAGATGTTCTCACATTATAGTGTCCCCTGTACAATCAAATATAGAATGTTAACCGGTGACAACACACGTGTCACACACACGCGCGCGTGCGCGCGCGCACACACACACACACACACACACACACACACCACAAAGCCGGAAGGTCTGCTTCCAGTTTACGCTGTGGTATGTCTTATCAAGGACATTGATTAGAAACCAATGGGAGATGGGTAGGAAACAATAATTTGTTTCATTTGCAAATCTTCAAAGGAAATTTTCAATCCTTACTCTTTAGGGAGAGACATGAAACTCCATATTGTTTTGGATCCCTTTCTTGCTAAGAAAGTGTTCAGCATGAGACACACTGTCCCGTTTGAGGAGAGTTTATTCATCCAGCGTTCATTTATTACCTTCCAGGCATAGCTGTGGCACTGAGACAGGCAAGGATATTACTTGGCATTTTAGAAGTCAAGACTTTTCTAATACTAAAACCAGGCAAAGTCGTTGAGAGCGAATACACAAACAATGCCTAATTGTAGAAGAAATCCTTAAGAGTGAGCCCCAGGGGTATGCATTAAAAGAATAATCAAAATACAACCTAGTAGGGTTTATTCCAGGAATAGGAGGTTTTTCAAAATTAATATAACAATGTTATATTAATTATATATATGAGAAAAATTATTGCTTCAATAAATGCATAAAAAACATTTGATAGAATTCAACAAGGAATTGCAAAGCCAAAATACATAAGATAGTGTGGTCTGGCACAGCAGAGGCCAACTCAAAGGGTCTCCTTTGCGACAGGGCAGGTTACTTTGCTACAATGTTGTCTGCTGTGTGGCTCTCTAAGTTGTCTATGGGAATCTGTTTGGAGGACCAGTACAGACAGGAGGCTTCTCTGGCCATCGCTCAGAGTAGCTGGCTCTCCTCTCTTTCTGACCCAGAGCCTCATTCTTCTGCTAGCATCCACGAAGCCGTGGAAGTGTGACATATAATCTTAGAGTCGAATACCGGATTTTTCACAGTTCTTGATGAGCTAATCCAATTCTAATGTCTATTTTTAAAACTAGTTTAATCATGTATAAAGTCTTTAGAATCACTGGTAAAAGTTACTTCGATATTATTTTTATGGGGGGAAATTACTTGGAAAAAACTTTTTAAAGCACTGATATCTTTTGAAGTTTATTTACATATCCTGGATGGAAGTCGTTGATACAGTTTATGTGGAATCCCTGAAAAAGAAAAGCAAATGTCTTAAAGCTGTGAATGCTAAGATCATTTCCAATAAGGATTCAAGGGCACCTCTCTCTGTCAAAGGTGTTGTGTGCACATTCAGTGTAAGTAGGTAATAGAAGTAGAACATGAATTGCAGCTACCAAACAAAATTCCTAAATGATTCCATTATGTAACAAATCAGATAAAAAAATCTTACAAAACTAAATTGTATTAATCTTCATGGTCTCTTATTTCCTTTAAAAAAGATTTTTTTTTTTTTTTTTGTCATGTGCTTCTGCGTGCGGGTTTGCATATACGGTCGCAGGTGTCTCTGGAAAAGGGTGTTGGATCCCCTGAGCTGGTCTTACAGGTGGATGGGTGCTGGGAACCCAACTTGGGTCTCCCACGAGCGCACTACACACTCTTAACCTCTGAGCCACCTCTCTAGGCCTCCCTTCTTATTTCTATACTTTGGTTAGTGCCAATAACCTAAAAAGAGTCTTTTGTTTTAAATACATAAGTGTTTAGCCTGCAGGTATGTCTGCATGAGGTCACCGAATCCCCTGCAATGCCCTCAACTGCTGAGCCATCTCTCCAGCCGCTGCTGGAAAGAACCTCAGAGGTGCTTACTTATCTGTCAGAAGGCACACACCTTTCAAATCGGGAGCCAAATGCCTACTCCTAGGACTGGCGGCGTCTTCATAGGCAGCATAGTTGTCAAAGTAGAATTTCTCTCTTCTTGAAATAGAAGCTGACTTTGAGGGGCTGCTGTTGTTGTGACTGGAGACTCTGTCGCTTAGACTCAGATACTCTCGCTGAAGATTCCGCATCTCAAATTCCAACGTGTCCCTCTCGTTTTCTACGCTCCGCGCGTAGTTCTCCAAAAGCACCTTGTCTTCAGTGAGCCGGCTGATGCTGTTTTCAAACTTGGTGCTCTCTTGGCTGTGTTTCTTAAGCTCTTCCTTCAGGATCTGGTTGTCCGTCTTGATCTCCATGACCATTTTGGATAACATCTCACACTCCTTGCTGATCTCCGCCAAGTTGTTTTTGTAAATGCTGGTCTCCGATTTGGCGCTTTTGATTTCTTCCCGGAGAGTCTCTTCCGCCGCCGACTGGTAGGTTTGAAAGGCCTCCAGTTCTCTTTCCAGCGTCTGCCTGGCAGAAGCCGATTCTTGTAATGTTGCCTCGAGATTCAGTTTCTCGGTTTTAGCCGCTTCGAGTATGTGCAGAAGAGACTGCTGTTCGGCTTCCGCCAGCCTCTCTTTCTCCTTGAGCTGTAGCATCTCGAGCTTGCTCTCCTTCAGGTCGCTCTCCAGCGCGCCTTTGTCTTTCAGAAGTTGGTACATGTTTTTTTCTAGCATTTCTCTTTCGTCTTGTAGCAACAGCATATTCGTTTTCATCGCTTCTATTTCTATATTCATTCTATTGTTTTCGTTTTTGAGAACGGCCACGTCATTTTGGGACTTGTGGTCCCTACTCTTGAAGTGATCCACTGTTTCTGTCATCTGTTGCTTTTCCAGGGAAAGTTGACAATTTTTTTCCTCTAGCATTTTGTGTTGACCTTGGAGGACGTTGTACGTGCTGACGATTTTCTTCAGTTCCCGGAGGCAGTCGTGGTTTTCTTCCGCCGCTTTAGCTAACTTGGCCTGGAGGGCGCTCTTTTCTGCAACCAGAGACCGCAGCTGCTTCTCGTAGGTTTCAACCCTCTGTATCAGCGATTGCGTGGTGAAGATGAGGGGCTTCATTTTGGTCCGAAGGGCCAGGTTTTCATTCTCCAGTTCTGTCACCTTTTTCTGGTTCTGCATGGATTCTTTTAGGTAATTCTGTAGGTAATGAATCTTGGCAGCGCACTGCTCAGTGACGCAGGTGGCTTTGGGTGTCTTCTCGGTTTCAAACGTTATCGCTCCTTGGTTTACTGCAAGTGGTTCTTTTTCTTTGTCCTTCGTTTCCTGTTTCACCGGATCAAGGAATGACAGCGTGTGTCTTGGAGCTCGGGAGTGGAATTTTAAATCCATAATATTCTTGCTGGTGATAGGGATGTCTTTACTCTTCTCATTCCTTTTCGCCCGGCATATTTCACTTCTAGATAATTTTTTACATTTCCTACAGAAATTTAAATGCAATTTTGACACGGTTTCCCTGACTGGGAGTAATTTACTCACTAAAGCTTCTAATTCAGAAATTCTCTTTGACTTGAGGTCTTCGCTTAGGTTACCTTCCACATTTGCTTCCTGAATAAAGTTAAGCTTTGAACTATGAATGGGAAGCAGCTCGTATTTAACGTGACTTTGCATATTTGCATCCGCCCGGAAAGTGTGAAGTTCATTTGTAAGCGCCAGCTCCCTGTCGTTTGACTTTTGAAGCTCTTCTTTCATCTGTTTAATGGAGTGACAGATATCATCTAGGTTCTCAGAAAATTCATGCTTCAGAAAAGGCACAGTGATCGCGGATTTATCCAGAGTCATAGGCGCAGTAGGAGGCGGCACAGTCTGGGGAATGGGCGGTAGAAACTGATGAAGACTGAGAGTCTTCACGGTGTCAGGCTGGTCCGAAGCGCCCAGTGCTTTGGTGGGAGGTGAGTTATGTGCAGCAGTTCTCAGGCTCTCCAGAGGTAACATGTCTTTGACCTGTATCTGGGGTGGAATATTTATGCTTTGAGAGATACTGCTGCCGTTATGACTACTAACGTTTTCTTCCAATGAATGAAGAGTCTTAGGGTCCTCAAAATGACTTTTCTTGATAGAAAGCATTTCTTCTTGCTTCTCATTAGGCTAGCGGCAATAGAAATACTATACTATAAATTAGAATTATTTATATATAAATTATATATATAATTTATTTATTATATACTATAATAAATATATTTATTTATTATATTTATTTATATATTATAATATTATAATATTTATTTATTATATTATTTTATAAATAATATGAAAATTATTTATATATATTATATATAGTATATAAATTAGAAATTATATACTATAGATATAGTATACTATAAATACATTGTTCCTTGCTATGTGGACAAGAAATTAAGATAAAGTTTAGGGAAGATTTATGTGTACAACCAAATTAAGTATCTTATCTACCAATTAAAGAAGATTGTATGTGCATGTGTCCCCATCTTTCTAGCTGGGCAGGAACAAAATAGCACCAACTATCCTGAGATCCACAACTCTGGCCTTCACAGAGTGCTTTATAATTGCCCTGCCTCCCTTAGAGGTCCAACCTCTTAATTTCAGATGTAGAAATGTAACAAATGCATCAAGCTTCATATCCTAGGGAGGAAGGTCACATGGGTACTCAGGGAAAGCAAGCGCTTCTCCTGCTGGGCTCTTTGTTTGCTTTTGCTTTCATTCCTGGTCTTGACAGGGTGACTTTAGAACGGCAAGTGTCTTGGAAAAGTGATTTCCTAGCTAACACGGATAATATTGGCCACTCTAGTTTGGAGCTTTTCTACACAATTCAGTCCTGGTTTGTTAGTCCCCTCTGAACAGGTAGGCCACCCAAAGTGCCTTGAATTTACTTTGGAATTTTCAGCATTTAGGCTCAGCAGTCAAGAGCACTGTCTGCTCTTCCAAAGGTCCTGAGTTCGATTCCCAACAACCACATGGTGGCTCTCACCATCTGTAATGAGATCTGGTACCCTCTTGAAGAAGGGACTGCTCAGTCATCCTCATCAATTTAGACCATGAAACCCAATATGGATAAGTCCAACAGAACTGTCCTATACGGGCTGCCTATGCATGCTTCAGTGTTGCCAGGGCATAAGAAGCAAAAAATAATTTTTTTAGATGAAGGAAGATGCCTTTCAGACCGTCCCAAAAGAAATTCTCAAATTCTAGAGTACAGAGATAAACACACTTCTTTTAAATTTTTCAGAACAGATATTTCCTTATTTTCACCTCTGACTATCCATTGTTCCTACGAGGAAAGAGAGAATGGAAAGATGAAGACAATCACTTGTAGGGATAATTTTTAAATACTGAGAGAGGAATGATTTCTTTTAAAGGAAAAACATACCAAATCCCTTTCAGGGTGCATGCTGAATACTACAGTTTTTTCTGAGTTCAGTTGTGGGGTTTCTACTTCAACAATACTTTTGTTCAATATTTCGCTGATTTCAGACTGTACCTTCGAAAGACAAATGGAGAATGTTAGAATTTGAATTCAGATCTGGGAGCTTGTCTATTTACAGGAGCACACAGCTGAAAGACACCCTTTCCTGTCCTGCCCGGAAAAAGTTCTTGGCCATTGCAATATCTGTCATTAAAGGACTTTTAAGAAAAAAATGCAGAAATAAGTACTTGGTAAAGCAGTAAAATTTTATGATCTATGTTTAAATAATTTTAGAGGAGTTACTTTTTCGCACTGTGGAATAAATAATAAATCTTGGACACCCATCCTCAAGACAGAACGCGTCTGTCACCGGGGCAGAGCTTGGTTGTCCACTTCCATGCGGTTGTTTTCAGTACAAGGACACCGAGTCACAGTTGATGCCAGGACTTCAGTGAGGACGTGTTGTGTCTGGTGTGCCTGACATGCATCCTCTGTTCTGACATGCATCCTCTGTTCTGATCTCTCTAATTTCTCCAGGTGAGGGCTGTATGCTTTTGATGATGGCACCAGTTCTGCCTTTAGCTGCAAGGCTGGGTCTGTGACTCAGCACCGAGTCTCTCTCTAGAGAGTGATGGTCAAGAATTGCTTCTGAACCAGTCGGTGGCACTCAGAATCAGAGCAAGGGACCTTAGTATAACCTATTATGAAAGTGAAGTGAATCCTCTCCCTCCCCTTTCTCTTCCTTTACCTCTCTCTCTCCTTCTCCCGATTTGAGCTTAGAAGGACAAAGATTTGGAGTTCTTTCCAACCCCTTTACCAAGATGTGGCATTGGACAGTCCACTGTCCTGGAAAGCAGACCAAGGTGTGGCTGAGATTTGTGCCTGATGGCCAGAGTCTTGATAATAGGAATCATGTCACCAGAAGTGGCTGTTCTAAGAGCTGCTCTTAGGATCTTCAGTAACACAGGTGATAGAGGACACTTTCCTCCAGAGCCACTTTTACTGTGAGTTTAAATTTTAGAGTCTCTATTTGCAGACTGTGCATGTATGTATGTGTGTGTATGTATGTATATGCATGTATGTATTTGCAGTGTCAGGATCAAACCCAAGACTCTGCACATGTTAGGCAAACCCTCAACAACTGAGCCATGTCTGTCCTAGGTAGCACTTTAAACATGAATGCCTTTTCTTTCTGCCTCACATCCAAAAATACGGGAGGATGTAGTTTACTCCAAACAAATTTCGAGCCTGAAATACATGCCCACTTCTGATACATCGAACTCGGCATCCACCTAGCAACTGGCGACTGATGAGCTTAGTAGACGGGCTGGTACCTTAAACTAGGAGATTTCTTATGTAGGGACTACAGCAATCATACCATGCTGACGTTCTGTAGAGTCTGCATCCGCAGCGCTTGAAACGACTGCAGCTGATGCTGGAGGACCTATAAGAGATTTAGCAAAGGGTCAGAAGGACACTCTCAGGGGGCCACACACGGTCTGCAACTGCTACGATTGAAAAAACATCCCCCAGTGTGGCTTGGTTTCCAAACAGTATCCCCTGAGTCGGCTGACTCTAGCTGTGTGGCTGACTCTGAGCATGTTCATGGAGGTTTTTGTGAGGCTAGTGTGGAAGGTTCAGTGTTTGTTTCGGGAGGGTTTTCACATAAGTAAACGAAACACTCACTTTCAGGGCTGACTGTGGCTGGATTTGATTTTCTGGTTCTGATATGCAGCTATAGCCTAAGGAGCAAAACAAAGAACACACATCGTTTCATGCCAAGCTTCTTATTTCGCAGGAGCTGCTGTGAGAAGCACTCTCTCAACTCAGATAACGAGATGGAGAGGATGAGAAGGATACTCCTGTATTCTTAGTCAAACATTAAATTTAAGGACATCTACCTGTGGGGACAGGGAGATGAGTGAGTGCTTGCTGCTCAAACCTGCCTGTCTGAGTTTGATTCTGGAACCCATGGAAGGATGGAAGGTGGACACTCCCTCCGCAAGCTTGTCCTCTGGCCCCTACGATTGCACCATGGCATGGGAGGATTGGTGCACACGTGGCTTTGTGTGTGGGGTTCAGAAGCAAACTTTCAGTAGACAGTTTTTCCTTCTACCACATGGGTCCTGAGGATGGAACTCAGCTTGTCAGGCTTGGTAGCAAGCATCCGTACCCACTGAACCGCCTCAGCAGCCCAAATTAGTTCTTTCTCAAATAACTGCTTCTGAGCTACAGACTTCACTCTTTTTGTTTAGAAACCAAAACCAAAACTCACAACCATTAATAATCCTGATGCTGTGGAAGGCCTTTGGTAAATGGACTGTATAGGTCTTGATTTTTGTGAAATTGCGCGCAGTGATCTCCCTGAGTCGTGGACATGAGCTGGATGTGCAGGATGGGCCGTGCTCTCGGGCAAAGTTCTGTCAAGAACAATCTGCGCTTTCTCCTGGGGAAGGAGGTTTGTGTGCATTCCTTTGGCCCTTCACCATGTAAAAATAGGAATACTTCCCCATCAATGGCCGTGTCCTCAAGGCGTGCATCTACCTTGACTCCTGTTGTGGGAAGACCCTTCTCCATTACAGTGGATATCCTTTACTCCTTTATGATGACTGTGTCCTGTGACGCCGCATCAGTCTCGACAAACCCATTCCCGTCTCTCTGTCCCCTCAACATGGGGTCTTGCCGCTACAGCCCAAGAAGAGCACGTGGCTCAGTCCACTGATCTATGCTGGTTGGCGAGAGAGACCTGCTGCGGGAACAGGGTGGGGGCGGGGCGAAGACTGGGGCGGTAGCTAGTGCCGAAGTTGATCTTGTTCTCTTAGGTTTTGGCTCAGCAGTTGACTATTCTGTTTCCCTCGGACACTCTAAAATCAACACATAGGGAACAGAAGTCCTCAGGCTCCTTAGGGTGATAGACAGTGACGTCACAGGCTTGGCACCTTCCCGGAGGCTGTTTGTAGATGGGCAACAGAGGAGAGACTATGTACACTCATCCACGTGGCAGGTAACTTGCTTGCTTTAAAACGCTTTTAAATTAAGAAGCCAAAGTGTTCTAGTTTGCTGATGAAATGAGAATTATGACCGAACGTCCTCCTAGACTGACAGCATCAGTCCTCAGAGTAGGTCCTCAAAGAGGCCTCCGAATCCTCTCTTTTGGATTAATTAGTGTTCCATCAGAGACACAGAAGCTGGTTGTCAAGTGCAGACATCCCCTTTGCCATTTTGGTCCTCATCACTAACAACGCAATATTAGTTCAGAACCTGGAGATGTGTGGTCAACTCAAGAATTCTGCCTTTAATCAGAGGACAGAAGGGCTAGAGAAGCCTACCTGCATACTGCTTATTTCTGCCTCTCTTGGGAAGCTGAGACCAAGGTGGGAAAGCATTCCGAAGAGTTTAGACTCTAACTTGTTCTAGTGTATTCATAGTGGCTATGAAAAAACAAAACAAACCAAAAACCAATGATGTCATATAGAAGCCTGCCATCCAGAGCCAATTTTAGACAGCCCTTCAGCTCTCTTTGTGTATACACACACTCACACACACACACACACACACACACACACACACACACACAAGCACGAATGTCATTAGAATAGGGAGGATATGGAGAAAGAGGACCTCTTATACAATCTTGGAAGAAAACGAAATTTTATACTTTAAAATTTATGTGTATGGGCATTTTGCCTGCATGCATATCTGTACACATGTAGTTTTCACACATATAAAGTAGAAAGTAAAAGGGCATCTCATAGGAGTGGAGAAATGATTGCTGGTTACCAAAGACTGGGAAAGTGTATGAGAAACAGAGAGCGTGGCTAATAGGGGATGGTTATAATTGATAAGAATTGATTATTTCTTAACAGCTGGAAGAATCTAAATGTTCACAGCAAAAGATGATAAACATCTGATGGGTCAGATACATCAATTTTCTTAAAATAATCATTACATCATATACATGTAATTAAAGATTTCAATGTATCCCATAAATACATATATATATATACTTAGTATATGCCACTCAAAATGACAATGTATTAAAATATACCGAGAAAAATATTAATAACTTGAAAACATATATTTCCACTGTGTTCTTAGTTGACTTACTCCTTGCCAAGAAAGATGAGAAAATTTTCTTTGCCACATACTAATTTTCTACTCTTTGTCTTTGCTACTAAGATTAGTTCTGCAGTGGAGTTTTATGAATCACACATTCTGTTCTGTAGCCACAGTTCCCACAAAGCTCTCTTTTAAACAATAGTGTTAGCCGGGCAGTGGTGACGCACACCTTTAACCCCAGAACTCGAGAGGCAGAGGCAGGTGGATCTCTGTGAGTTCGAGGCCAGCCTGGTCTACAGCGCGAGTTCCAGGACAGGCTCCAAAGCTACAGAGAAACTCTGTCTCGAAAAACCAAAAAAAAAAAAAAAAAAAGAAAAAGAGAAAAAAGAAAAACAAAATAAACAATAGTGTTGTGTTTACATTATATATATATATATAATATTTAGTAAATTGAATAGATGAAAGTAGAACAGTAAATAATAGGTTCTTAAGAAAGAACAATGAAATTTATATACGTTACTCTTCTATATTTTTGACCACAATATAATTGCATAGTTTCTCATCACACAAATATCTATTTCAATGTGTCCATTCTGTTTAGAATTGTTGTTTTCTTTGACATAGTGTAGATGGCTTGTTTTTGAAACCTTTCTATGTGTCTGGACATTTTTTCTGCATAGATGTCTGTGCACCGTATGTATGGTTGGTACCCCAGGTCAGAGGAAGGCATTAGATTTCCTGAGTTTGAGTTATAGATAATTGAGTCACCATGTGGGTGTTGGGAATAGCACCCATGGGTCCTCCAGAAGAGAAGCAAGTGCTCTTAGTTGCTGAGCCACCTGTCTAACCTCTGTAGATGATTTCTTATGACATCCTTTCCTGATCCACAGTCATCTGTTCCCTGGGGCTGTAGATCCAGGACCAGGGTGGAAACCGGCACAGGTGGGGAACTTTTTGGGAAGGATGCTGAAAGCCTTTGTTCATATTTTAAGAGAGAGAGAGAGAAAAAAACCAACCTCTTTAAGATACTTTAAGTTGTCTATGAGAAACGTCAAGTACCCCATTGGATATGTCATTTACGGGCTGAACACTGATGGGTGATGTGGGTGTGGCTGCCATCCTAGATAAAGGCAGTTTTGGGGGAGAGCTTAATGAAGCACTGGTAAAAATGGCTTTCAGTGAGAATGTGATACGAAGATTTGCAGCCCCCAAGTATGGTTAACTTTTTCGAAATTTTACTGTGCCATGGAAAAGGGATTATAGTAGATAGGGTTCACACTAGAAGACATGTGGACAAGAAGCATTTTGAAAATTATATTTACTTACTTAGTGTGATGTATTACTTACTTAGTGTGTGTGCACATGCTCACAAGCCAAGAGGTGCACGTGAAGGTCAGAGAACAAACTGTGGAAGTTGCTTTTCTCCTCCTACCCGAGAACTGAGCTCAAATTGGTAAGCATGGCAGCAAGCCCATCACCTGCCAGGCCATCTCGCCAGCCCAAGGGGATTTATTTTTAACTCAATATTTATTCTAGCTATTGGACAGTCTAACATGCTTGCTGGCTGAAAAATATCAAGAAGGAGTGATTCCATAGAAGGAGGGAGGCCGTGGCAGAAGGACTCTGGATGTGGGATCTAGATGAACAAGTCGTTGATTGGGCAGGAGCAATTCTTCCCCTGAAATGGGAGGAAGGAAGCTTGGTAAATGTGAAGGATAAGGATGAGGGAATTTTTTTTCATATACTGTAAGATGATGCCATGAGTTGAGAGAGTGTGGGTGGGAAATGAGATAATTATCTTGGGAGAGAGCATTTTAAAAAGGATTTATTTTGACAATAAAGCAAATGCCCCAAATAGCATTAAGCGGCTTGCCTTAGAGGCACAATATGACTCAAAAATGAGTTTTTTCTTCAGCAGCGTTCTGATGATCTAGTGCAGGCAGTAAGTAGGGAGGAAATTGGACTCACTTATTTTTAAGGGTAATAATAGAACTTTTTGTTTTTCTTATGAGTCTTTGGGTGTATCTTGTTCCTAAGGAAAGATATTTTTACAATTCAATAGTGCTCCAATAGCCACATGGACCTGTATGATTCTTGAATTAGAGGGGAATAACCAGAGACCCATAGAGGTCAACACAGAACCACATTTCAGCATTTCCTAAGTCTTTGCTAGATGTATGATATTGGGAGGCCCTGAAAGGGAGTGGAGGATATGGCTCTGCCCTTGAAGAAGTTTATTATCTGTTGAGAATGTAAGAAATGGTATTTATACTCAGCTTTCATTTTCTGTTTTATATTTAAGTGTTGAAATTTTAAAAAATGACTTAATTGTCAACGGGATGACCTTTTTATAATAAAGACAAGAGGAGTTTGTTCTCAAGCCTGCAGAAAATTCTGTCATATTGAATATGTGCAAAAAGTGTTACGTGTGTACCTGTGATTAAAGAAAGAGAACAAGGCAATTTTTAAAGAGCGACATAGAATGGTTTTCAAGGGCAAACATTAGCTTGGCTGTGACAGTGCTAGTGAGTTCTGTGGAAGCCCCATGAGTGAGAGCACACCTCACTGTTGCACAATATTAGTTTAAGATGTGCTACATTTGTTTATGCTGTGGAATATTTGTTTAATGATGCAAAGATGCGTTGCGTTCTTTTCTGTTGTATTTGTTTAACTCTGTGAAGCTGTGTTACTTTGCCTACCTAAAACAACTGATTGGTCTAATAAAGAGCAGAACGACCAATAGCCAGGCAGAAGAGGGATGTGGGGCTGGCAGGCAGAGAAAATAATCAGGAAGGGCAAAGAAGAGGAGCATTAAAGGAGAAGGAGAGAGGATGTCAGGGGTCAGCCACACAGCGACACAGCCAGCCACGAAGTAAGAAGTAAAGAAAGGTATATAGAACAGAGAAAGATAGAAGCCCGGAGACAAAAGGTAGGTGGGATAATTTAAGTTAAGAAAAGCTGGTCTGAAATAAGCCAAACTCAGGCTGGGCATTGATAAGTAAGAATAAGACTCCATGAATTTATTTGGGAGCTGGGTGGTAGGCCTCCAAAAAGCAAAGAGTGAAAAGAAAACCAACTACACTTTGTCATGCAAGTTAGGACTCAACTATGGAATCAGGCTGCCTGGACATGGATTCCTGACTTTATAACATGTTGTGACATGTAACTCTAAGCATGTAGCTGATTTGTTATAACCCTTAGCCTGACCCACAGTAAAATACTCAAAGAATATGCATTCATCAAAATAATTCTAGTCAGCATGGAAGGGGCCTGCTCAGACCTTTTCAGTACTGCCAATTTTGTTCAGAATGGAACCCCAAATCATTGCCCAGAGTTACCAAGTTTCTCCCTACTCTCCCGCTACAACCCTTGCTGTATTGAGGCAGCTCCATCCTTTCTGGCCCTTGGTGATCTCAGAGCTAAGTACTGGGCCAATTTAATGTCCAAATTGTGGTGGTCTTTTGTCTCATCCTCTGTCCCTTTCCTGGGTGCTCAGGGAAGAGTACAGATCTTCATGGTTGGTGATGGAGGAATGCAGGATTGCTGACTCTGTCCTCCTACATGGTTATCATCTTGAATCAAGTTGATTTCTAACAATTGAGGTGTGATCTCTCTGGCGGCTTCTCTCAGGGTCCCTGCCCAGGCCTTGTGAAGGTCCTGAATTGACCAAGGTGCAGAAAGAAACCCTGTCTCAAGCTCAGGCTTCTGATCCGCCATTTCTCTCATCTTACCAAATGCTTCACACGGGGTCCTACCCATCATGGGGATCCTGCAGCAGGGATCCTACACATTCGTATAAAAGCCACCTTACTATGAACTCTGGTTTCTTCTCTTGATGTTCCACTGTGAACCAGACCCATGTGAGAGGGGCGTTGTCATCTTGGACTCTTCTGAAGGAAGTGAGATCCCAACGTCATTGCTTAGATTCCTCTGGCTATTTTGCACATTTAATTCTTGGTTTATTGGAAACTGTTTCTATTTGGATTCTAAGATTTTGATATAAAACTAATGCATCTTCTAATGTCTGTCCGAAACTGAAATCAAATCAAACCAAACCAAAATAAAACAGCAAAACCTCAGCTTTTTTTCTTTCCCACCCAGAGAGTTTACCTGGTTCACTGACCCCACACTCTTTCACCCCCTCAGAGTAATTCAGGATCTTGGATGCTGACAGGAGAACGGAGTCAACTTCATCCTCTTCCTCAAGATGCTTTTCTGGAACAGAACCGAGCACAGCTTTTGGCGAGGAGCTGGAAGGTAGCCTGGGAAGGCGAGGAAGCAGGAAAGAGATTCCGGTCGCCCACACCCTGGGCGGCCACCGGAGGGCGCGCTGGGGTCAGGTAGAGACTCTGACTCTGTAGCAGGGTTGGAGGCTGTAGCTAGGGGGCAGTTGGGTGCTTTCTCTGGGTAGGGGGATGTGTGATAGGAAGATCCACACTCCAGATCCAACTGGGAAACTCCAGTGGCTTGGGGGTGAAGGGAACCCGGGTGTAGCTCCACTATCCTCCACTTCCCACAGCTCCCCTCTCGAGGACAGCCTCCTGGATCGCTCTTACCGGGGCTCATTTTTGTTGCCTAAGACCTCTCTATCAACTGTCTTGCCCCAAGCATTCAGCTCCGCCGCTTCAAGCCGCAGCATCCCGTTGCCTAGTAACGGAGTGATCAGGAAGCCGCGCCCATCCCCACCCTTTTCCTTGAGCTGTTGTGGAGGAGAACTTGATTGGTTTTCATTTGTCAAAGTACACTGATTTTCCCGTGCGCTTGATGAGCCACTTGTAAAAGGCGGATGTTGCCGTGGGAAGCAGAGCTTGCTTAACTGACTGGTTGGAAAGCCCAGTTCTTAAGTCGAAGTTTTCAATAAGCACATATGACTTGTCTTGCAAAATCAAGGTAGAATACACAGTCTATTTCAGGTAGAATACACAGTCATCGAGAATTGAATTTTAAATCACAATGAGTAGAAACCGACAGCCACTATGATATGCTATTTCACTACCTAAAATAAATTATACATGATTTACTTACAAGGAAGGTAATTCAATACTTTCAAGCATGGTAATTAAATTTTCACTAGCTAAAATTTCTTTTGTAAAGCAATGGTCTCTTATCAGACTTGGCAGTGTTTTTGAGGCATGGTGAATAGCTTTAATAAATTTGAATTTTTCCATCTAATATGTCTCTTAAACTACTATTCTAAAGAAAATAAATAATACAGTTCATCTAATGCTATAATGTGGTGACAATGAAATATTTCGTGACAACTCTAATTTATGTGCAGTATTTGTGGAGGATTAGGATAAGTGAAATTAATGAAGATTTTCATGTCACGACCAAGTCAAAACGGGTGGCAGAGACTATAAAACACAAATTATAGGCGCCTACAATTAATCTGGGTTCTAAACTCAACAGAAACCTACTTTCGTTTTAAGGAAACTTCTCAATCAATTAATCTATCAGGGAAATGCCTTCCAAGTAAGGAAGGTTTATTTTAACTTTTAAACACTTATTTAATTAATTTTGTGTATTTGTGTATAGTGTACACACATGCATGTGTTGGCGTGTTTGTGTGTGCAGGCAGGTATGTGCACATGCGTGTGTACATAACTGTGGAAGTCAGAGGTCTTTGTTGTATATTTTTCTTTATTGAGCTCCACCTTAGGTTTTTGAAGCCGCCTTTCACGGAAGCTGGCACTCACAAGCAGCCTATCCTGGTAGGCCAGTGAGCCCCAGGGAGCCGCGATGCATGTGGTCACTGGCATGCGGGTGCTGGGCATCAAACCCAAGTCCTTATGCTTGTGCAGTAAGCTCTGCACCAACTGACTGTCTCAAGAGTGAATTGCCAACTTCCCATCCCATCTCTCCCGGGTGTGCATCTTATTAGAACACTGATAAGAAGCACAGTACAGCCATTAATATTCAGAGATTAATACTGATGCATAATCACCCTGGAGTCCTCAGGTCTCACTGAGGTTCTAGAAATAATGCATTGGGTAGACACAGGTCCCAGCCCAAGAGCCTGCATTACATTTAACAGCAATGATGTGTTTGCTTATGAAAGCTCAGCCTGACCAGTTTGGTTTATCTTGAACTTCTAAGGCCTTAACATTTTAGAATTCTGTAAAATGTTTCTGTGTCTTTGGTGGATGTTTTCTAGTGGGTGGATTCAGGTCATGCGCCCTGTCGGGGTGAAAGAATGGCTGTTTGTCGCCACAGCCTTCCATCAGGTGGCAAGCACTGTCGTCTGCTCCATCAGTGTTGGCGTTCATTAGATGACTCACTAGTCTCCGTTGGAAAAAGAGTTAACCTTTGTTCCCTTTCAACTAAGAAATAGTTTGTTAAAATACTTTGACTTATGTAATATTCCATTCTTCATAAACTTTTGGTTTCCCAATTGACTTACAATTTTCTGTATGGGTAAGTGTTTCTTATGCTATTTAATAGTTAATAATGGAATTTATTCTGTTGCTAATATTACTTGTATTAGTCCTCAAATCTTCCTGTGCTGGTCAGTGATGATATCTCTATTGAATTCAGCCTCACATCACGCAGACAGCAAAGTGTATTTTGTCAGCATGTTTTCAGTACTTGGACCATTTCTCCAACCATCCTATAAAAAGCCTGGCTTTTTTTTTTCCTATCGTGAAGTCCATTCCTATAAGATAGAATTAAAATCTACATTACCATTTTTTTTTAAAAAATGAGTTTTTAAAAATTGAGAGTTGCAATACTTCAAAATCTTCCAATTTTCCTTTCAGAAAAGTCTGCTTTTCCCTGCAGATCAACAGCTGTCATTTCAAGCATTTGGAATGAACTTAGGAGCACGGCACAAAAACAAGCTCCTCGGATCTATTCTTAGCCACTTCTGACCAAACTGCAAGACGTCTGGGGTTTTCAGCTTTACAAGATCTTTTTTTAAACCTGGGATTACGGGGCTATCACTATGCGTCGATGGAATCTTCTACAGAGCGCGATACTTGCCATCTCGCCCCGAGGATGTACCAATATGAGGGCTGTTCCTCAGGCTTGCGTTTAGATGGAGAAGGGAACCTCATGACGTCAACTTAAGAAGTCTTCAGTGGATCACAGAAATAGTGTCTACAGCTCAAAGCTTGATCCAGGTCAAAACATCTCTACACCCAGTCTACGTTAAGGTGCTGGCAGCGTTAATTTCAACCTGACTCTGTCTATTGAGAGATGGAATGCCATGTTTCACAAAGGATGGGAACAAGCGCTGGCTTTTAGGCAGGTAACTGCTGCTTTGAAGAGGCCTTGTTTAGAGGAAAGTAAGCAGGACTGGGTGCATTGAGTCAGGTTAACTACAGAAAGTTTGGTATGCTAAGGGGACCGTTGGAGAGACACCAAGATCTTGGAGATGCACAGGTGTTAGGGAAGCAGAGATGCTTTTGATGAGTGAAGGGTGTGAACATGTCCATATGGTAAGAAGAAGAACCACAGACAAGAGACTGAGTCGGTACACTGAGCTGGAAAGAGACACAAGTAACAGAATCACAGGTATGATTTGTGTTGGGAACTGGGTTGAACAGGTGGTGCTTTGTCCATTTGGTAAAGATGATGGAGGCACATGCAATAGTGAAGACACTTTCTCTGTAAGGAGGTACTCGGATCAGGCAGATTGTTGACTGAGATTTTCTGTCCTGCCCAGTTCCCACAGTTGTTAAGTCCCAAAGAATCACACAGAGGTCTACATTAATTATATACTCATTGGCCTAGTAGCTCAGACATCTTATTAACTCTTACAACTTATATTAGCCCATTATTCTTGTCTATGATAGCCATGTGGCTCGGTACCTTATTCAGCGAGGCAGTCACATCTTGCTTCTTCTGAGGCTGGGTCAAGATTGCAGAAAGAACTTTCCTCTTCCCAGAGTTCTCCTCACCCCACCTCTACTTCCTGCCTGGTTGTCCTGCATATGCTTCCCGCCTGACTACTAGCCAATCAGTGTTTTATTAAAATATAATTGACAGGGTACAGACCATAGTCCCACAGCATCAGATTCTGTCTGTGAAGTTGCCTGGGGGTGAAGAGGCACTGATTTGTGCAAGTGCACACAGAGACAAGTCATCCCTGTCGTGGGGTGTCCTTCACTCATCTCCCAGATCTCAACCCCTCATCTCCTTAGTGATATGCTAAGTCTTGTAGAGTCTGATGGAAATCTCCTGCCTCAGTTCACTCTGCAGCATCCTAGTTAAAATAGCAGAATCCTCTTGCTATATAAATGGGCCATTCTTGCGTACATTCAATGGAGCTGGTGCATTTTAAACAACAAAGTCATGCTCCTTGTTTGGCTTCTACCACGAACCATGGCATAAGCCAGAGGTGGTGTTTGTGAGTATGGATCAGAAAGAAACATCTAAACTGAATCAAGAACCTTACCACATTCTCAAGGCCAGGCCAGTCGGAATGACAAAGACAATATCAGGACATTGAGTGATGGAGTGAAATAGCGGGGCCTCCAGCATCACTCAGCCTTCCTCTCCCATTACGCAGATGAGAAAGGTCAAGGCAAAAGGCAGAGCAGCAGTTAGAATCCAAGTCCCGACCCAGAGTTCTTTCCATGACAACACTAATCTCATTTCTCAATACCAATGTTTAATAATTGTATTATTCCACACTATTTCCCCTAGCACTTCACTTACGGATGAAATGATTTTTTATTACAAAGAGAACAAACACGGCTTTAGCTTAATAGTGGCATTAATATAAGGCAACCCAGTGGAAAGAAAGAAACGGTGAGATTTAGAATAAAATTCATAGGGTTAAAAATTTCACAGCAATAGAGCAGTGATTAAGATCATATACACAATTAAAGTATACAGGCAGCAAAAGGCCCGTGGCTCTCTTTGTGTCAACAAGGTTATGTATGTGGTTATGGTTGGCGCCATTTTCCCTCCTGTTTTATGTTTGCATTGCTTTACAGTCATTAATTATAATTTAATCGTCATCACCAATATAATCTTTGAAAATAAAGGTGCCAAAATAAAATAACTGCCACTGACATACACATGCCTGTAGTGACATTAGCTATTTAAAGTCACAAACAACAAAAAGTAAGAGCAACTTATAGGACTCCCCAAGAGACAGATTAGGGGTAAACAAAATAAGGTATGACTTATACAATGGGGTATTATTTACCTTTAAAAGGAAATGGAATTGTCTTCCATGCTACAACACAGATGATCTTTGAAAATACTATGCAAAAGTGAAGGGAACCAGGAACAAAGAGACAGATATTGCACAATTTCGCTTACAAAGGGGTGTCCAGAATGCTTCATTCACGGGGTCACAGTGCACAATGAAAGTTGCCAGGCACTGAAGTGGGGAACTGAGAGTTACTGTATTTAAGATGTACACGGTATTCGCTCAAGGATGAGAAAAACATTCTGGAAGTGACTGACTATCTGTGATGATTGCTTTTGAAGTTTGAAGCCATTAAATTAAAAATGATGATTTTTATGTCATATATACTTTGCCACAATAAAAAGCAGTAAAACAATAAAATTGCTCTTCTAGAATTCTTTACTGATCGAAGTATCATTTCACAAATGATGCTGAAGTGAAAGTTATCAGAACATCCTTCTGCCCCCAGAGAGCAAAGGGCGCTCTGGCGGGAGGCAGAGCAGCAGAGATGACGAATGTGCGGATCAGGAAGTAGAGACTAATGCGTCTCTGCTGCATGACTTTGTTATATAAACTCTCGTGAGGAGGAGGGGCTTGGAGCAGGAGGTGGTGTTCTAGAAGGTTCAGCGGCTTTAGCAACTCTCACAGCTGCAAGGAGAGGAGGGTCCAGCCGCCCTGAAGGAACCTCGGTGGCATAGCTGTGCCCAGTGCAGATAGCTGCTTGTGGCGGTGTTTGCAGATGTTCAGGGGCTACTGAGGCGCTGGGATGCACGCACTGATGACTATACTGGTAGGAGACCCTTACACACTCTCGCTCTTCACCTTGCGTTCTTCATAAAGTGGTGTGGAAGGTGAGCTTGGCCTAGAGAAAGTTAGTCCTTAAACTCACGCCATAGTTGTACTCTTGCTGTAGAAATAGAACACCTGTGGACTTCTTTGCTAGGTAAATAATGGACGGAATAAAAGAATGGAGGGAAACTCCACAGCAAGGCCTCTCTCAGCTACAGGATGGAGCTACTTTATTTCTCGGTAAACTTTGCTTGACTTTCTCTAAAAGGTAGAATGGAGTAATTTTCATTTTAAAATAAGTAATTTTCATTTTATATAATATTTAAAAACATTTATTATTATTATTATTAGGCATGTGTGTATGTGAGTGTGCATGCATGTATGTGTGACAGAGGGCAACTTTATAGATTCAGTATTCTCCTTACCTTTTAATGAGGGCATTAAATTAAAAATGATGATTTTTTATGCCATGTATACTTTACCACAGTAAAATACAGTAAAAAAAAAAATAAATGAAGAACATTTCATGGGTCCTGGGGACTGAACTCAGGTCTCCAGGCTCGTATGGCAAAAATCTTTACCCACTGGGCCATCTTGCTGACTCTTATTTCATATAAACTTTTTTTAGGGGTGGGGGACAGCATCTTACTCTTTCTTTCCATTTTATTTGGTTTTTCGAGACAGGGTTTCTCTGTAGCTTCAGAGCCTGTCCTGGAACTAGCTCTTGTAGACCAGGCTGGCCTCGAACTTACAGAGATCTACCAGCCTCTGCCTCCGGAGTGCCGGGATTAAAGGCGTGCGCCACCACCGCCCAGCTCCAGCATCTCACTCTTTGACTGGTCTAGGACTCTGTAGACTAGACTGGCCTCAAGCTCAGAGATCTGCCTGCCTCTGCCTGCCAAGTTCTGAGATCAAAGGTGGGCACAACATCATGCCCAGCAAGTATTTCATATGCTCTGAATTTAAAATATTTGTGTACCAGGTGCTTCTTATGGTGAGGATAGTAACTATGGCTTGATAAGATATTATTACTCTCTGAATAGCGATTGTAGAATTGTGGTTTTTGGTAACTTAAAATGCTTGTCGTATCTCACTCTTAGAGAAAAGGAGACATGTTCTTAGACATACTCTGTGTAGTTAGCCGAAGTTCTAAGTTATTTGAAAAGTTAATGTTAATATCTAATTTTTGATTTTTTTAAAAAAACACTTATTTTATATGTGTGCGTGTGTCTGTGTGTGTGCGTGTCTGTACTGTGTGCGTGTGTCTGTATGTGTGCGTGTGTCTGTATGTGTGCGTGTGTCTGTATGTGTGCGTGTGTCTGTATGTGTGCGTGTGTCTGTATGTGTGCGTGTGTCTGTATGTGTGCATGTGTCTGTATGTGTGCGTGTCTGTGTGCGTGTGTCTGTATGTGTGCATGAGTCTCTCTGTGTGTGTACATTGCTATGCATGTGCCACACTGAGACTCTGAAGGTCAGAGGACAAATTTCAGGAGTTAGCTCTCCTACTCTGGGGGCTTCAGGCATCTGACTCCGGTCACCAGGCTTGGCGGCAAGTACCTTGACCCGATGAGCCGTCTCAGTGGTCCCTGATTTTATGTTTGATTGTACGTCAAGTAATCAAATAAAAACGGTTGATGTTTTCCACCTAATCTGAAAAATAATTATGATAAAGTAGCCCATCTTCAAGGTTCTTGGCTTCACAAGTCACTCACAGGAAGCGCTCTCGGGAGTTTTGAAGATCTGCAAAGAGACGGGAACAGTAAAATGACTTGCACCGGCTGGTCACCAGCACTTCCTGCTTCTCAGTGCCCAGGGACCGTTTACTGATGTGGCCCCCACAGCGATCAGAGCTCTGAGAACGTAAATGTGAAACAGTGATGCCGGGCAGGTGGTACTTGCTTTCTTGAACTCTTTTCATCCCTTCATTCTTTCCTCAACATTCTTTTCTTATCTGAATCAACGTATAGCATAAATAAAAGAGGTTTTGGCCATGATGAAAGAATAATAAAATGATAGTTACAAAAAGCAACTTCTCCTAGGGCTGAAATCAGACTGGTTCAAAGGACAACATGTCAAATATTTGTGCTTTTTTTAAACAATTATTTTTACTACTATTTATGTGTGTATGTCTATGTTCCTTTGCCTATGGTTGGAGGCATTCCCTGGAGCTAGAGTTACAAGTGGTTGTGAGCTGCCTGATGTGGGTGCTGGGGATTGAACTTGGGTCCTCTGTAAGAACGAGACACTTAGTCCTATTTCCAGCCCCATGGCAAACATTTGTAGCTAGAGTCGTTAATAAAAAGACCCAAAGCATCTGCTTCCCTCAGTGTTCTCAGGTTGGGCAACTGAGAAATTTTACCATATGTAGAGACAAGTAGGCTGCTCGTGGGAGACACCAATCTGCTCTCAGCTCTTCTACTTACTACCCACAAAAGTACAAGCTAGTATGGACAGCGTCTTCAAGTATTTCGGCTTTTACAGCTTGTAAATCTAAACAACGTCCAAGCCTTCTTTTCATTTGTCTCTAAGAGAATATATTCTCTGAGCTAAACCAAAATTGTCCTTCTTTTGTTCATGACATGAGTTTCTACATAGAATTTCTGGCGTAAATTCATTGCTGAAGGACAAAATACTATATAAGGAGAATATCTCTTTTCATTTGCTTTAGAACATTTTTGGAGCTGGAGAAACGGCTCAGTGTTTATGAGTATTGGCTGCTCTTCAGGAGGACCCAGGTTTGTATCCCAGGACTCGCATGGTGATTCACAACCAATGGTAACTTCAGGTTCCTGGGAGTCCAACTGTTTCTG